CACATGTGAGAAGGAGACACCCACTGTCAGGCACTTTGCAGCACAGACCTCCATTAGTAACAAAAATGCTGTACAATTGCAGGAAAAAGATTTCCAGAAATACCTAGCTGCCAATCAACGTCCAGAACAGAAGGCTCCCTGGAGGCCACCAGGCAAACACCCGTATTAAAGGATGGATCAGAGCTCCTGCATCATCTGCTCACCACCTTTAACCACCTGGCTGATTAAACACACTGAAATGAACACTAGAGATCCATCCTGAGTGCACTTTCTGAAAAGCTGCCCTGCAGCCATCCTGCCACAGATGCATTTGCTATCCCTTGCAGAGATTTCCACTCTGCTCCTCCCATCCCCACAGAAGGAGCTGTAGCTGCAGCTGCTCCCTGGGGCCAGCACTGCAGTGGGAGCAGGGAACACTCAGGACTCATCGGGTTCTAATCTCTCCGACATGAATCTTGGACAAGTTACTTGAAATAGGATTTTACATTTTCTCTGCCTTCTTTCTGCAGAACATTCCCTTCCTGCCACAGCCAGCAGGGTGAAGAATCTGCCTGTCTGAAGGATGTGATGCAGAGCAGCAAAGACCTGGCATTAAGGATTAGACACATCTTTGACATTTAGAGTTGTATCTAAAATTCCCTCACCCCCATAGAAATAGTTTGGTTAGCTGGATCACAGAATCCTTATTTACAGATACTCAGAAGGTCTCCATTACCTGCTACTGGCTACAGAGGCCAGTATTCTGGTTCTGTTTTGCTCTTCTGCAACCTCCTGCAGCTCCTCACACCACAGAAACCTCTCACACCTGCTTGACTTCTTTGCTGTCAGACCCGGAAATTTAAAGAAGAGCAGAATTAATTCGTTTGTTTGCACTGACAATAGCCAAACGTGGACAAAACACCACTGTGCTCCTCAGACCTCTACAAATAAAAGCCATTTCCAGTCCATGTGATTCATTTGGGATGTGGTAGAAGTATCATGTTCAGATGGTTCAAATTGCAGATTAAACTGCCTGTGCTTTCCCTGTTTCAAGACAAAGTTAGCATTAGGTTAGGCCAGATGTCCCACCTAAGGGGCAGGCCTATGATGGCCCGTGGGCTCAAAATATGGAGCACGAGGTCAGCACGTGGTCAGACCCTACAGCCCTTCCTAAATAAGTGTCCTCCCTGTGTGTGACTGATATTTCCCCTCCCACAGGCAAATTACCTGTTGCTCTTTGCTTCCTGCTGAAGAGGCTCCTGAATGAACAATTTCTGGGCTTAGTTTCTGTGAGAAAGCTTTTGCTTTAAAATCACCAGTTTTTGACAACAAGCAGCTAAAAAGAGAAGGGAGAATAAATACAGAGGAAGGACATAGGAAGGAACAATAGTTCAGATGAAATGGAAAGTATTTTCAGGAGCATTTTTATCCCTCACACAACCCTACATTGTTTTGCACTTTTTTCCTTTCCCCTATCCACTTGCACTGCAATGCACCCAGCCAGTCTGGAATAAAGCCCTATTTTTAGGGAGATTTGATCCAACTGAACTGAACCTTGGTGAACTCAAAATGGGAACAGAGGGTCACAGAGCGACTCCTGGGCACTACTGGGGCCACAGCCAGTGGAATGTCACCATCACCCTCTCTGGCTTCACTTGAGATCCCTGGTGCAGAGGCAGCTTCAGGCTGACAAGTCCAAGTTGTGGCAGCTGCCCCGTTGTGTTCATGGTGCAGACAAGTGTCCAGTGACAGTTGCTGTCTTGGAAAGCTTTTCAGGACAAGCTGCAAGGACTGAACGATGACAAGTGTTGGGGACACAAGAGCTGCTATTCCCAGATCTTGTTTCCAACCTTCTTGGCCCTGTCCTATGGTTTAAATTTGAACACACACGCTGTGAGGATACCAAAATTATCCTCTAGTTTGTAGCTCACTTTCAGCTTCCACAGCACAAATGGTTTGTCAGAACAGTGCTACCACAGCCATTCCTCCACTGCTGCTCAAAATTCCAGTGCAGTTGTCATTTTGCACTTGACCAAGGTGATACTCACAAAAAAGTTCCAAAATTTTAATAATAAGATTCATACACACAAGAAACAGTTCCCAAATCTCAGTAATAATTTCTAGCCTAGCCCTATCCTTTCAGTCAGTGTCATGCAGCCAGAATTTTAAGACCCAAGCAGAAAAATGAGTGCGTAAAACTTGCAGTCTGAGGTTTGATAATGACAAGACCAGAATCTGTTGAAGACTGCAGAGTTAAGTCTCACAAAAACATCCAGACAAATTACTTAATTTCCATACAAGTTCTCCTCTTCCAGAGTGGATGGACACTTCAAAAGACAAAAAGATACAGCAAGAATTGTTTTCCTCTACTACAAATCAAGCTGTTTGAAGAATTTACATAAACAGGATGTAAATGCCAAACACAAAAGTGCAGTAAAGTTTTACTTTAGCCTCAGTGAGCATAAAATTTCAAGATACACACTGAGAAACCAGGCAGGGCATCAGCCTGACTTTCCTACAGATCTGTCAGTTAGTCCAGGAAATAAATGCTGCTTTTTTGTTCAAAGGCTGAAATAGAGATATGGACTGGAAATAGATTATATCAACAAAATGCTGGCATCAGTATGAATTTATCTCTGTGCTCCCCTTGATTGAGCTAAGGGTCAAACCAGGCTTTTGTCAAACTGAGGAACCTGATGGAGTTGAAGATGTCTCCACTCACTGCAGGGGGTTGGACTGGATGAGCTTTAAAGGTCCCTTCCAACCCAAACAATTCTGTGGTAAACCATTCTGTGATGAAACATTCTGTATGCTCAATATGTGGTTCCAGCCTCACACACCGAGAGGATAGGACACAGCTCAGACCCCCAGAAGTTAAGATGAAGTGTCAGGAATGGTGGTGGACGATTGAAGGGAGAGGAATCTCAGCATCCCAGAGCTGCCGTGGAAGCTGATGCAGAACAAAGGGATGGGCTTGGCAGGGCCTCTAGCGGCCACGTTATAGCAATGTCCAAACCTCTCCCCAGCAAGTTTTCAACAGTCCCAACAACCCCGCCGTCCCCCAGTCCTGAATCCACAGGGCCTTTTCAACATTGGTTACAGGTATCCAACCCCTGGGATACAGCCCGGGGCAGCTGTGGGGCCGCTCCCCTCCCCAGAGCTGTAATTTCAGAAGAGCCATCGGCTGTTCCTGTCACCACCAGCCTGTGTCAGCTCCCCACATCATCAACACCCCGAGGCAGGAGAGGTTTTCCTGGGAGTCCTGAATTGCCCTGCTGGTGGTGCAGCACAGTTTGAGCTTTCAGTCAGCACAGCGAGCAGAGGCAGCATCACAGAAACCAGGAACAGAGTCTGGCAGCCAGGAAAGATCAGCCAGCCCAAAACTAGAGTGAAAAAACCTTCAGGAAAAAAAAAAGGTTCAGCCAAGTAAAGCCCACAGGCACCAAAATCATGATGTCCATAAGTCAGCTATTTGGAACAGTCCTGTCGGGAAAGGAAAGCCCATGGGAATGCAAACCAGGCTTCCTTTGCTGAGCTCCTGAGTATGAATGGATGAAACAACTCCTGTGATTTCCTATTTTTAAAATCCACCATTGTGCCAGCAGCTAAGTAGTTCCAACAAATCAGGATCAACAGCAAAGATATTTTAATTTCCTGAATTTGAAGTATTTCCTTCCCTAATATCGCCTGTGTGATTATCAGCTATGTTATGAACTACCCAAAGTACTAGGAAGGCACTTAATTTTTCCTCTTTTTGTACCCCAGTAAAACACTTCCATGGGAAATTTTTATCTAATGATTTTTTTTTACAATGGCAAGCGCAGCTTTGCAATGCCAAGCTTAAGGGATGCCTTATTATGAACCCGTTTTGTGTAAGGGCAAGTTAAATTAAATTAACTTTGTGCCTTGTTTTCATTTTACTACCCCATGGTGTAGAACTAATCCCAGTGCAGGGGTCCAAACACCTTTCTGTGTCACTGAACTCCAAGATGATGTTTATGGTATTTTCTATATAAATTTCTCCATAAACGTTACTTGGCCAAAGCATGTTCACAGTGTGTCACTTGCACATCTTAGACCCTTGCCTGTGTTGCTCATATTTAAGAATTTTACTCAGTCCTTAACTGGAACGTTGAGGCTTGTGTATGGATTACTAAACTGCTTTGAGCAATCGTTCAAATATTCAT